CATGCTTAAGAAAACCTAAGTTTTCGCCCAGAGTCTCGATTATTCTCAACTTTTCAATGCAATTCCCAAGCTTTTGATAGAAGTTCAGGGTTTTATTCAATTTCTGAGACTCTGAATTTCATAACCCCTGATTTCTTAAGCATTTCGCAGGGTGTACCCTCAATACTGTTCGCAGCCCCGCAGGGACTCCGCCGCAGGACCCAGCGGCAGGTTCCGCAGGGCGGCCTCGTGCACATCCCGGCACACCCCCACGCGGCTCATGGCCCCGCAGGGGGGGCTCCATCGGAGGCCCCAGCGGCAAGGTCCGCGCGACGGCCCCGCACCTTGTTGTTCGGCACGCCCGGCACACGTCCCGCAGCCCCGCAGAGACGTGCTCCTTTTTCGTCCCGCTTGGTCTGCGGCACTCGCAGATGCATGTGGCTGGGACCTTCACCCGAACAGCTTACTGAAAGCAAGATGTGTGTATTTTGAAGCGCTTGTGAAGTCAATGTTTTTGGTACGGTTGCAACATGTGTGCGCGCGTGCGGTCGATTGTTTGCAAGGGACGTGTGCAGAAGTGTGCGCTCATTGTATCGATTGAGAGGGGGTGGGGGTGTCGATACCAGCCGTCTTGGGATACGGGATAATATGATGCCACATGGGAGACGAACGATGAGGCAGAACCATCAGACATGTGTATTCTGAGCGAGGTATGGTAAAGTCTGGGTTGAGGGTGGTGGGCGATTTCATTCTTCGCTTGATAAAGAGAACCCGGGTGGCCTCACATACATACACACATATACATACATACATACATACATACATACATACAGACAGACAGACAGACAGACAGACAGACAGACAGACAGACAGACATACATACATACATACATACATACGTATGTGTATATATGAGTGTGTGTATATATATGGTATATCGTGTTACGATGTTTGTGGTGCAGCCGATGCGGCAGACTCCGTGGTGTTCGCCCCGACGGATGCGGCAGACTCCGCCGATGCGGCGAGCGAACGGATGACGCGACGACCGAACGGCGGAGCGCGCCCGCCTGGCGCCGACGACGAATCGACGACGGGGCGGCGACGCGTCGAGAGCATTCCTTGGCACGGCTGGAAAAAAACACGCCATTGCAAGACCGTCTGGAGGGTTACCGCCCGCGGCGTCTTCGCAAACCGTGAACACACATGATTCGGTGCCGACTGCGACGGGCGCCGCGTCTCGCTGCGGCCGGCAGCAGATGGATGCAGCGAGTCGGGCGCAGCGCGGCGTGGAGGTGTGGTTGCCAGCTTGAGGAGGGGTATGGCGGGAACTTGAACGTTGCCCACACATGGGATATCGCACCGCGCGCTCCGCCACCGGCCGCCTGGGGTCCAACGGGACGGACCGTGGCAACGCCGCGCCGTCCTGTTTTCGGGCGTGCCGCCGCACCTCAATCTGGGAGCGGCCGTAAGAGCTGCAAGGGACTGCCGCACGGCGCCCTTGCCGTTTTTCCTCCTCCTCCTCCTCCTCCTCCTCCTCCCTCCTCCTCCTCTTGTTCCTCCTCCTCTTGTCCTCCTCCTCCTCCTCCTCCTCCTCCTCCTCCTCCTCCTCCTCCTCCTCCTCCTCCTCTTGTTCCTCCTCCTCTTGTTCCTCCTCCCCCTCCTCCTCCTACGCCCATTTGTCAGCCACGGGCCACGGGCGCGAAATTACATGCCGAGCAGACGGGCACGAGTGACAGTGATAGCAGTGGGTGCCCTTGTGGGGGGGGGAAGTATGTTCGGCCGGGCCGCTGCACCTCAACTGGCGCCTTGCCAATCACCTCACAGCGCCACGCGACGGATGATATTTGATGTCTACGTCTTTTCTGCGGGGCGCACGCGTGGCAGGCTGCGACGGTTGCCGCTCCTCGGCGCGGGCAGCGCCGAACCCAGGAACGGCACGCGCGCGGCCAGCCAGGGCCCGCCTCCATGCCACGCCTCCGCGTGGGCCGCGTCGGATTCACGTGACAGCCAGCATCCAGCAGCGGCGAAGCGTCCTGACTCGCCTAGAGGCCCACTAACGAATGGTTTCACAAAATTGTTTGTGGCCCACGCGAAATGCTCGCAAACACTGCTGGCTGAGATTGTCCTGTTTTAACACCTCGGCTTGCTGTTTTTAGACGGATCATGTTTGGTCTTAACCACCACTTCGTGGCAGGCCTATCGGACGGTCGGCCCCTGTTCAACAGCGCCCGTACCTATACGGCCTTCGTGTTTTTCGGGGTTGGTTTCCGCAGGGGTCGTGGGTGTGCGTCGCCGGTTGGGACCCCCCCGCTCGAGCGGGAACCCCTTTCTCAGGGGTCCGACGACCCATGCCCATACTCATATAGCGCCTTCATCTCACCCCCTTGTTTCCATCCCCCCCTGCAATTTTCATAAAACTTTGTTCTTTCATCGTCGCCCCCACCAGAAAGATACTATACCGCTGATCGTCATGGGGAGCCCTTGTTGCCACGTCAGATCGCACCCAAGGGGAAGTCCGGGTGCTAGCGGTGACGGTATTGGTTTGTCTTACCTCCCCCTCCATTTGGTCACCTCCTCTTGGGATCATTTCTTTTGGGGGATCTTGACGCTTTGTCGCCTACAGTACGTTCCACGAGTCCTCCTCCCCCATCCACGCCGTGTTCCCCCTATCCAAAAAAAAAGTTTCCGTAGGGCGGGGAAAATGAGGGAAAGAGGGAGGCAGGGGAAGCTTGAGCTGTGGTACTTACGTTTTGTATATGGTTCACGGTCCGACTTCCGTATGTCATTTTTTACACCGCAGTTCATTTTGGTGTTATGTTCGCAGTGCTGTTTTGTTGTACTAGTGTCACATGCGTGGTTTGCGGTGTCGATTCGTATCCATGTCACGTTCGTGTTTTCGACCCGTCTGACTGCCGCACCTGAAACCCTTACTTTCGCTCAAGTCGAGGATCTATCGGTCTGCGCGTCGCGGGAACATAGTTTTCGGGCGCGTTCTGACCAGGCAGGTTCCCCGACACATCCATTCCGCGGGACCGCCGCAACCGCGCAATCCGAGCTCCAGGTTGGCTTGCGCTGCCACTTTTTCACGGGGCCCCTTCTGCCCCGAGGATCCCTTTTCCGCCTCCCTCTTTCCAGATGCTCTTCCTCGTCCTCCCACCCATCCTTCCTCCTACCTCTCACGTGAAACGCGCACTCTCCTTGAAAATGATACAGTGTAAATACCTCTCGGGCCGTCCAACTTGCGGATAAGAGTGAGGGGGTATGAACGAAACAAGCCGACGTTGACGCCGACGCCGACGCCGATGCCGACGACCAAAGCCACGACCACGACTACGGCGACGACGACGACGACGACGATCGACCGACCCACCGACCGACCGATCGAGTTCGTCCAGAGGCTTCCAGAATCCTCCAGAGATGCACATAGGCAGTGTGCGCACCGGCGGTGTGGTGCACGCAGGCATTGAGGCGGTTTGGTATGCACAAGCGTTGTGGTGTATGCACCGGGACTGTAGTAAACGCTGTAGTGAACACGCGCGGTGCGGTGCGCACCTGAGCTAGTGCAGCAACATCGGTTGCAAACGCAGGCGTTGTGGTGACCGCATTCGTTTGGATATATGCAGACTCCTACAGCCTTGGTCGCACGTGCAATCACGACTGTGTACACAGGCGTTCAGGTGCACACAGGTTGTGTTGTATACGCAGGCACTGTGGGCCACAAAGGGAAGGCAGGGCACTACATCCTTGGCCAGAGAAATCAAGAAACACCACTATCATATTGAGTTTGATGCGGTCAGGCTCCCTACGATCTCCTGGATTTTGGCCTCGCCGAGACCGTAGAGGTGTACATGATTCTGGTGTTTTACACGCGCGCTGTTGGATTCAGGTCACGTGGTACGCACATGCTGCTGAATCAGCAGTTGTGATGCACACGGGCGATGTGGTGTGCACAGGCAATGTGGTACACACGATTATTGTGGTGCATGCAGTTGTTGTGGCGTACATTGTGTTCCACGCAGGCGCTGCGGTGCATTGCGGCAACCATGATATACGCAGTCATTGCTCTGTACGAAGGCACTATGGCGTACACAAGTCTTGTGGTGTTCACAGGCAGTGTGGTGTAAACGCGCCATGTGGTGCACACAGGCACCTGTTCCGTGTGCTCAAGCATTGATGCGCGCACATTTCTCCACCTGCGTCATGTGGATTTATGATTTGTCATGTTCTCCACATGCTAATCTTTAGACGGTGTCGACGATTCGCTGCGAGGGAGCGTCCAAACACATGTCAAATCAATGTAGTATCGCCGCGTGGAAGGTGGGGTCAAGCTGGTCGTCGTGTCTGCGACGACGTTCATAGAGACCACCAGTTTCCTACGCACCCCAGAACGCCTCCGGCGAGGCGCAGCCTTTGGCGAGCAGCCCGAGGCAAGACATCTCACAGAACCGACGAGAACGCCCACAACTTCGAGCCTGGAACGAGGAGGATGGGGCCATCCGCCCGTCGCCAGCCACTTTGGCTCAGGGCCAGCGCCTCGCGACGTGGCCCTCGGCTCCCTCTCTGCCGGCAAGATGTGTATCCATATCCACTGCATCTTGGAGTTTCGGACTCCCTTCCCCAGACACCCGAGGCGCAGTGGTTCCTCGGCCTTTTGCTGCCACTCCCCAGACAGTCCTGCACCTTTCAGACACTTCAAGGAAATGCGTTGATTTTCATGGGCTCCAGATTACGCTTCAGAGACTTAGGAATCTGAGCTGGGTCCTGGCGTTTCCTTGGAGCTACTCTTCCGCGTATAGAGCGCTCGTATCTCTGGACCTGGGCTGCCGTTGGAGAACACGCTGGAAGCGGAGGCCTGTCTCTTGGCCCAGAACTCCCCCAGCTCTGAGCAGGGGTGCAGGCGCAGTGAATCACGGATATGCGTATTGCCCGCCTCCTCCTCCTCCTTCTCCTCCTCCTCCTTCTCCTCCTCCTCCTCCTCCTCCGCCGCCGCCGCTGCGCGGGGGCGGCCGGCGCGGAGGCGCATGGCGCCGGCCCCGCCGCTCCACGCGGGGGCTGCAGTGAGCGTGCCCGCGCAGGCGAGCGGGGGGCGGGCCCTCCTCCTCCCCCTCCCCCTTTCTCCTCCTCCTCCTCCTCCCTCCCCCTCCCTCCTCCTCCTCCTCCTCCTCCTCCTCCTCCTCCTCCTCCTCCTCCTCCTCCTCCTCGGGCTCGATTGCCCGTGGGAGCGGCGCTTCGCTGGAGGGGTCGCGGAGCGCGGGGCGGCGTTTCGCGGCCTGCGCGCTCGGGTTCGGCCCCCTCGCGCCCCTCCCGACATCCGAGGCCCGAACACCATCACTTCACGAATTTTGGGCCCCAGGGCCCACTGAGGCCCCAGGGGCCCTACACCTTAGGCGATGCTCAACAAAACTGAAGTTTTCGGCCAGAGTCTCGATTATTCTTAATGTTTCAAGTTAATTCCTAAGATTTTGATATAAATTCTGGGCTTTTATTTAATTCTGAGACTATGAATTTTTAACCCATGATTTCTTAAGCATTTCGCAGGGTGTAGATTAGTGAAGTGATGTTTTTACCTAACAGCGAAGACTGATAGGTTTCTAGTGGTGTCAAAAGAGCTCACAGATCACTCCACAGGGGGGTCCGGGCAGGTGTTGGGGCGTTTCCGGGCGGCATGAGCCGGGCTCGTTTTTCACCAACAGTCACACACTTCGTGCTCTTCGCCTTCCCAGAACTCCATTCCCAGGCCACATTCTGGGGGGCCGGATGCAACTGTAGGCCACTTCGTGCTCTTCGACATCCCAGAACGCCATTCCCGGGCCACATTCTGGGGGGCCGGATGCAACTGTAGGCCACTTCGTGCTCTTCGACATCCCAGAACGCCATTCCCGGGCCACATTCTGGATGCCCGGAGCCAACTGTAGGCCACTTCGTGTTCTTCCATTTCCCAGAACTCCATTCCCGGGCCACATTTTGGATGCCCGGAGCCAACTGTAAGCCACTTCGTGCTCTTCGAGTTCCCAGAACTCCATTCCTGGGCTACATTTTGGATGCCCAGAGCCAACTCTAGTCCACTTCCTGGTCTTCGAGTTCCCAGAACTCCATTGCCGGGCAACATTTTGAATAGCCAGACGCTTACAGGACTTGCTAGTGACACTGCAGTCCTCTGCATTCAATTGGCCACTACATTCATTCACTGCAGTCCACAACTCTAGTCCACTTCCTGGTCTTCGAGTTCCCAGAAGATTGCCTCTTTGCAGCCAGCGCCATATTCCTTCCGCCACAGCTCAGGACTTGCTAGTGACACTGCAGTCCTCTGCATTCAATTGGTGCAGTCCACTGAGTTTTGATTGCAATGGCGTTCCCCTGGCCGCACCCCCATGTCCAACGTTCATCCGCAGCCTCTGCTCCGCGAGGCTCGTCCGAAGTGTCGCCGCCTCGCGGTGCTTCTCAGCCTGCGCCGCCTCGCGGTGCTTCTCAGCCTGCGGAGGAAGGTGGACTGACGCCTGTTCTGGCGCTGTGCAGCCTGCGTCTTTCACGGTCGCCTCGTTCAATTTCGGGCTCGAGCAGGGCATGATGACTGGTAAGCAGGCGGCCACTCACTGCGCTAACTTCGGAAGGTTGTGCGCCAAGATAGTGGAGACCGCTGATGCTGATATGGTCTGTGGCTGCGAGGTCGGTGCGTTCCGTGAAGGCTTTCGCCGAGCAGGGATCAACGTGACAGAGATCCTCAGTAAGCCTTTCGGTGATGGCATTCGCTTCTTGGAGGTCGACAACTACTTGACTCTCTGGGGGTTCCGCGGTGCTTCTCAGCCTGCGGAACTGACTCTGTGCGAAGACAGCAAAGTTTACAGGCCTCCTAGCGGCCGAGATATTGATGCTGTTATTTCACATTTTGAGGTGAACAAACCAGGCCATGACAAGTTCCACGTGGTGATCGCCAACATGCACATCGTGTGCGGCAAGAAACCGCCGAGCATCCAGACTCGAAAGCGGACAGTTCGCCATCTCCGCTTGCACCTGGACGGCCTGGCCAAGATTCTTGAGAATCTAAACGAGGCAGTCGTTGTGCTTGTAGTCGGCGACGACAACCTCACTTTCCAGGAGGCGCGGGAGGCTTACCAGCGCGAGCAGAACGACGAGAAGGTATGGGAGGTCCATGCCACTCCGGCCGACCTCAAAGGCGACCACGTCGCGGTCTGCGGAGCAGTCGCCCGTTTCTGCTCCATTGCCGTTGGCGCGTCTTTTACGGATCGTGGCATGCGCAACGACGCACACGATGCGGTGGCGGTTGTGCTCACTCTCCCTGGTGCTATTCAGCCTGGGGAGAGCAAGAGGCGGAAAATTGTCGTCGAAAACGTCTCCGACGCCGACGTCAGCGTACAGGCGGACCGCGAGTCTTCTGTGCATTGGGATCGGTCGCCGAGTTCTGCTCCTCCGCTTTCACCGACTTCACCGGGTGATCCCGACTACGTCGAGGATGTCGTTCAGAATCGCGCGGACGACTTGCACAGGGAGCTGAGGCAGCTTTGGGACGACAGGTACGACGAGGAGTACGATCCGAAAGTCCTCCATCATCTCAGTCTCTTGCTTTTCAAAAAGAGGAAGTCCACGGAGCCAGCGGACACTGATCCAGCTGGCGCTCCTCAGCCTGGCTCGGAATATGACGCGGCCTTTGCGTCTCAGGAGGAGACTGGCCGAGCCATTCTCTCTGTCCTTAAGCTTCGACATGACTTTCTGCGGAGCAAGAACATCGACGACATGCGCTACGTTCTCACGGAGCCTGAGCGCCAGGAATTGGTCAGAGTAGCTCGCGACCAGTACGAGCAGTCGCGGCAGCAGCGTGCGCTTCAGGAACGGGATATCGAAAAGGGAAAAGCGAAAGGCAAGTCTGCGCCACAAGGGGGCCATGCGGTTCCGCAGGGTCCGAACAAAGGGCCAGGCGGTAAGAAAGGTTCTCACGGTGCTTCTCAGCCTGCGGGAAAAGGTGGCCAGGCCAAGGGTGCAGGTCTGGGTAGCGTCGCCAAGTTTGTGAAAGACCAGAAGCGTAAGCGGTGGCATCGCCATTTGCAACGTGTGGCCGGTACCAAACAGATCTGGGAGGTGCTGGCCTTCTCAGGGCGCTTCGACGTTGATTGGTTAACGCAAGCGTTGCAAGCTGATCACAGTGAGGGCCGTGATGCAGCAGTTCCCGAGGAAGCTCTGCGGCAACAGCGGCGCCGGCTGCACCACCAGAAGGCCGAGGCCATCGCGCGCTACAACGAGGGGGAGCGGCTTTCCCTCCATCTGTCTGCCCAGGCTGGCCAGGCAAAGCCGAACTTCACGCGCAGGCAGCTGGACGTGTTGCAGATGTTTGAGAGCGGAGCGCTGCTTCAAATCCGCAACCAAGCGATTCTGGCGTGCGGGCACGGCCGTCTGTTCAGGGGCGATGGCGACTACCTGGACATCGGCGGCAGCACGGGCGGTGGCTCCAGGCGCATCATCGATTCTTGGCAGCCGCCGGACTGGCGTGACTTCCTCCAAGACGATCAGGACATCTGAGTTTTGCAAGTCTCTCTGCCCGCGGTGCTTCTCAGCCTGCGGTCTGCCGCTCTCCAGCTGCGGTCTCGAGCAGTAGTGTTCGAAAGCATGCGAGTTCCTGCGGTGCTTCTCAGCCTGCAGGTTTCGCAGCCTGCGCTCTGCAGTACAAGTGCTTTTCAGCATGCGACATCCTGCGGTGTTTCTCAGGCTGCAGGGCTCCGAGGCTCTTCGCTTCGATGCCAATGTTTTCAGACACCGTAGGTCCGTTCCGTAAACGTCTTCCAAGAGCCGCTCGCAACCTTTTGCAGCTGGCTGTCTGCACGCTTCGCCGGCTTTTGCTGCGCGGACAATTTTCTCACACACGTCAGCGCCGTTTGTAGGCGTCAGAAAAACATGTAGACATTCACGAAGGGCTCAGTCTGTATATCGTCACATCATTACATACGCAGTCGTCGAACACATCGGTGTACATTCAGCGCTTTGTCCTTCTACAGCATTCTTTCCGTTGATAACAGTGTTCTGATGGGTTCGCTTCGTTCTAAAAGCGTTGATAGCAGTGTCTCGTTTGCGGACAACTCATTCTATATCAACTCACTGATACCGAGTTTCCTTTCACCATAAGTGAATGCATACCAGTGTATGTTGGTTACTACAAAAGTGGGTTCCTACAACCGACTTCATGATCGCTATCATCATCGCAGATTTCACTCATCCTCATCACCACGACTGGTTCACGTTGGCCTGCGGTGCTTCTCAGCCTGCAGTTCCTTTCGTTACACTGTAGTTGAAGCCGTTCATGGCAGTGACTCGTTTAAAGACAACTTTAGTATTGGGGGAAGTGTCGATAGCAGCGTTTCTTTTTACTTATACAAGCGTTGATAGCAGTGTCTCGTTTGTGGACAACTCATTATATATCAACTCATTCATGCAGAGTTTCTTTTCGCAGCAAGTGAATGCACAGCAGTGTATCTGCATTACTGGCCCCCACTCCATTATCACTATCATCATCAACGATTTCCTACACGCGTGTGCGCGGCGGTCGCCATGAGTGAATAGTTTGCAGAGACTTCTCGCATTGATACCCATGGGTCACTTCAGAGTGAACTCATTTGTGATCTTCTTTCATTGGAAGTTGAATCGGTTGATGGCAGTGCCTCGTTTAAACTCCACTTTGGTATTGCTAGTAGTGTCAATGCCAGCGTTTCTTTTTAATTGTGCAAGCGTTGATAGCAGTGTCTCGTTTGTGGTTAGTTATAACAGCGTTGACAGCAGTGTCTCGTTTGCGGACACCTCATTGTACATCAACTCGCTGATACCGGGTTTCCTATCAACACCATCATCATCATCCTTAACCATGTTTGCTCGAGTTTCACCTGGCCGTCCAGCCGCGGCGGTGCTCCTCAGCCTGCCTTGTCACAATGCCAGCGCGCGGCAAGGCATCGCCCCCGCCACCCCCGGCCCCGTGCGATGGCCCGTGGGAGATTCTGCCGGATCCGCCCGCACCGACTCCTCAGCCAGGTGTCGACGTGGTCTTTGAGCAGGCTCACCTCGAAGACATCCGCCG